GACTTATATTTTACAATATTTTATGCTTGATCATATCCATAGCATATATATTGACAAAATTTGATTGTTGAATCTTGTATATAATGAATGGAGGTTAAGCGTTAAAAACATATCGATTATGTTCGTTTTTATAATGTAATAATGAAAATCAAATTTTAATGTTCTATAAAAAAGATAATTTACGTATTTTTTATTTGTACATGGATTACATGACGTTATTTATAGTACAATATAAAAATAAGATAATCAACTTCAAGTTTGGTTAGACACGTAAATAAAAGTATGTTCTGCAAATTTTATATATTTCAAATTATTTATAAATATGTTTCATTGCATAAATTTTTATAGTTATTGTTCACAAGATTTATTGGATGCTGAAAATATTATTGGAAATATCATACATACCTTCATCGTGACGACTATGAAACAGCAACAGCCATGAAGAGAACATCGTTTAGTGACCACTAGAGTCCGTGCTTACTAGAGACACCGGATATCCGGTTTAAAACCAATGAAATTTTAAAATGAGCATAGTAACCAAACCATAGTAACCATAGTAAACAAACTCTTCTCAAATCTGCAAAAAAATCACATCAATATTTATTTCTTCATAAAAATTACGATTTAAATTTTTAACACTAAATTAATATATTATTAGTAAGTTATATTTTTCTTTTACATTTAAATGTGGAAGAAGTTGATAACATTCCTCTTAAAGATTTAAAACTAACACGCCATACATTACATAAAAAATAAATAAATACAAAAGGAAGCTGTTTATGGTTTTACTGTTCTTAAAATGCAAATAGATATTTTTTAAGAAATATGTTATCAAAAATATGTAATTTATATTGCTATCGGTAAGAATCAGCCTCAAGTTCTATGACAGTGCTTTTAAAAAATCTATATCTATTTAACTACGCCAACAAATAATGTTGTAATAAGCTGATTTTAAATAATAAATACTGATTAGCAAATTGAAAGCAGAATCGCGTTTTACATGTAATAAAGTGATTCATGCTATGACAATAACTGTCACCAAAGTATTTTATAGAAAAAAAAAAGAGCAGGAGGGGGCAGCATTCTGAAATGCCGACTTGCGGGCGTGTGTGACATTTTGATGTTGAGTTGTCTTTGATGATTTTCGTCATGTATCGATTTAATACATAGATATTTCCGATAAATGGAGTTGACCAAAAATATTTCTACAATCCTCATATAAGATAAGTAATAGATGTGTACGATTGATATTCTCTTGTTAGGTTAGGGACTGCTCACCCGAAATAAAGGAAATTATCACTTCTTTTGCGAAAATAATATAACAACAGAAGGTATATCATTTCATACAATCGTCTATTTCTTAATATAGTGAAATATCAGAGATATTCGTAAATTCTTCCGAAAAAATTAAATATTCGAGAAAGGAAGATCATTAGCACATGTCCGTTATGTTCAGTCGATCTTTCCAGAGGAAAACAAATAATAACGGCTTTGAATCTAACGTAGAACATTAAGTTTAATAATATTTTGTAGGAAGATATGGATGCTGCAATGGTAGAAGTCCTTCAACAAGCGACTAGCCAAGATCCTATTTTAAAACCAGCTGAACAGACTTTAAAACAATGGGAAACTGAAAGGCGATTCTATACTGCATTATATGTAAGTCGCAAATATAAATATGAAATGAATTTAATTAAATTACTAAGATAACATATGTCTATCTCTAGTTATTTCGTTATAAACACTTATAACAAAAATTATTTAATTATATGTGTAAGATTACTTTATGTTATTTATTTCTATAACTAAGAAGTTCAATAATTGTGTGGAAATTAATATATTAACATTTATTTCAGAATGTATTTTCTAATCATTCCTTGAGTATCAATGTTGGATGGCTATTGTGTGTTTTGAAAATGGTGTTGATAAATATTGGAGAAAAAATGCCCCGAAGTAAGTACTCTTCAATGCAATGCAATTATCTGACCTTGTAGCATGTTATTGCTTTCTTTATCTTACAGGCAGTGCTCTATCGGAGAACTAAAAAATATTAGGCGATTGTCACGTGACAGATTACAGATAAGATAATATTATCGACAAGAAACAGTGATCGTTAGTTGCGTATAGAATTAGCAAGGTAACGTCACAGGTATTTAATCTT